TATATATATATATAATTATTGGCTCATATTAATAGATGTTGAGATATGACCTCAGTAACATTATGTCCATACAACATTTAGCCATCTTCAAAATATGTCTGTGATGACTATATATGTCAATATTTTTAAGTTGAATGTTTACAAAGCATTTAGTGCCTACATCTCGGTAACTGAAAACCATCTCAACCTTGGTGTTGGACTGCAGTGTTTGTTCGCCCATTAGGCACTAACGTTTATGATCATAAAACTAATTTGCTATCTAATCATTTGACTTCCTGGTAAATCATTGCCCAGCATTCTGCCGTCGGCCCTACTCAGCCCCGACGGAAATGCGAAAGTTGTAACTGTTGAGTGGGGCCAGCCCCTATTAAAAATGCAAAAATACTGTGTAGAGCTGTTCAGTGCCACGCTAAGTTGGCCCTAGTGGAAATGTGCCATTATAGTCAGCTATAGTGACTTATGTCTGTTACGCAGTGACAGATGCCCTTGTTTTGGTGCTGAAATTATAAAGGGAAGATGTGAGAGAATAAGTAAACAAAGGATGCAAAAGGAGTGAAAAGTGTGAGAGCAAAATCGAGAGATTGAAAAGAGAAGTTGACATGAATAAGTCTATTATTTTTGGTGTTGTTTATTCTGTTGCTGTTTTGGTTTTTCAGTGATGAGTTTTGGTGTTTTCAAATACAATTACTTTCAAATAGTAATATGCCTATTGGAAAATAGTTATGCTGGTTGATTAGATTCTTTACATCCATTAAAAGATATATCAATTGTGTTGCATCAGTTGGTGCACCATAATGTTATAGTTTTTTCCGTGGAAGGTAAACCCACAGGCTGTCCTCTTTTCAGCCTTTCAAGACTGAAAGAATGGAAATGTATAGCCAGTTCTTTGTATTTTCATAATAGTAATAGATAAATATTAATTTATTTATAAAGGAAATAGTTTAAAAGGAATAAATTGGCACGCGTCTTTTAAACAATACATTATATTTAGGTATAGGTGAACTGTTCTGCTATAATGTTGTGCGACAACATAATATAGATGCTGTGGCTTTTAGAAAACAACAAATGCATTTTAGAAAATTCAATTATTTTTTTTCCTTACAATAGTGGAATAACAAAGTTGAATCTCTTATATATCATGTTAATTCTGTAACAGACATGTACTAGACAAAAGAGGCCTTTAATGATTAAGTCCACTGTTATACTTACTGTTATATGTAGAGTCATACAGAGAGGACAATACAACAGCAGAAAGTAATGAAAAAATGTTTTGGAACACTTAAGAATGAATTCATTCATGGGAAACTGTATATAGACAAAGTATGGAAAGATTCCCTGTCTTATTTCTTTATATAAAATGGGAAATAGCTGTGTGCCTGCTTCTGAGGCTGTGTTTAGGAAGAAAAATGTTTTTCTGCAAATTGGATGGTCCATTATTTAATTCTTAGATCACATGTTGAACTGTACCATAGTAAGACCCTAAACCACATGTTGTCACTGATCCATCTGTGTCTGTGAATGTGGTAGAGAAGAAGCATTGTGTAGTTTGTGAGGCTGCATACACTACAATAGAAAGGTGCTATGTAAATGCAGTCCACTTAACGTTTCTCTGTAATCAATACACAGGAAACAACTGTTGCGTGTCTTAGCATCAGTAATTTCACAAATATCAAAGTTCCCAGAATTAATCTTCATAAACAACACAAATGTTGTTCTCGCATATTGATCATGTTTCTGATTGCATTTTAATAAGCCTCTGACAAGGGATCTGCCATGGATGGATGATATCCCTATATTGAATCATTAGTGACATCAGAACCCTTAACTAATATTTTACTGGTGTAGACCAAACATGTATTAGTAATATAACTAACACGAGGAACCTAATTAATTAAATTTTCCCCCAAACCAAGTACAGATCCAAGTGGATCACTAACAATATTATTTGGATTGCACTGGGAAATCAAATTCTCACTAAAGGTACCTTGTTTCTTTTATGCTTCTATGAAGTGATTACAAACAAATTTTTCTAAAGTACAAATGCAATATTTTATTTTAAGGTTGTTCTTTATTTTGGGTTGACTTTTTTTTCCTTTTTTACTGTTGCAATTTTTGAAAAAGTTATCTAACTATGGATCAATCCTTTCACTGTACAAGTTGAAATATTAAACATTTATATTTAAAAACATAATACACATTATTTGTATGGGGTGATAAATAACATGTAATTAAATGTTACTTTTACACTGCAGTTAGCATGTTGTAAATGCTCGGTACAATGGCCTCTCTGATTGCTTTAGTCATTGGTGTTCTTCGCAGATCAATAAATGCACTTTTCTGTGTCCAAGTAAAATGCTTTAACTGAGTTTTTCTAATATATATTTGATTTTTATTGTTTTTTTTTCTTTTCTGCATTTTTACAGGTGCTATGGCATACAGCATCTCTCGCCTCCAGATGCCAAGGCTTTGTCTGGACAATGCAGATGTGTGACAGAATAACTGTGGATTACTGGATGAGTACAAAAGTCCAGTCATTTTAAAAACACACACTTATGTCATTAAATATAAAAAAGGTCAATTTTGTCATACCCAAAGTTCACAGGAGAACCTTCAAACTGCTTCTCTTTTTTGTATCTATTGTCATTGTGGATTTTTTTCTAAAATCAAAGCTTGTTTTGGTTCATGCGTTTTCATTTTCCAAGCTATTTATAGAGAGGTATCGGACCTCATTCAGCCTTCAATATATTTGTCCCCAACTAGGGGATACAAATATTACTAGTAGTGCCTCTACACCACATTGTTTTTTTTATTTTCTTGCTTAAGTCACCCAACCCAAAAGATCATCTTTTGAAACACCTTTTCAACTAATCATTCGTCATCATTCTTTTTAATACTAACCCTAATACCTCTGTCTTCCATCACCCTTCAGCATAAATAGCAACAAGTCAGTGTCCAACTCTTTTAATGTCAGTGTGCATGTGTTACCCAGTATAGTTGTTTTTTTTCTTTTTTCATTTTGGTTGCATGGACACGGCTTAACCGTGGAGAGGCCAGGCTACCACAAACTGATGGACTTCGACAAGCGAGGAGTAGGGGGAGGTGGTGGTGGGGGAGGAGGAGGTGGAGTAAAAGGTGAGGGAGAAGAGGGGAAAAGGATGTCAGGGAAGACAGGGGGCCGAACAGGACACAGTGGACGAGGTGCTGGATCCAACTCTGGGGTTCTGATGGTCGGACCAAATTTCCGGGTAGGAAAGAAGATAGGCTGTGGGAACTTTGGAGAGTTACGTCTTGGAAAGAACCTGTACACCAATGAATACGTGGCCATCAAACTGGTAAAAATCATTACTCTTTTTTATGTCTATCGCAGCACAATATATTTATAGATCCCTATCAATATTTGCAAATGTGTTTTAGTAACTAAAAACAACCTTTCATGAGTGACATCAGTGTATCCATTGCTCATTTATGTAGATGCAAGTGAGAAAGAAATAAACTTTAACTCTCCAGTAGAATCTGTTTTTCTCTGCAATTTCACATGTGTATCCTCCTAACAAGGAGAATACAATTTTCATACTTTAATTCAGTAGTTTGACATATTCATTCAGATTATACAGGGGTTGGACAATGAAACTGAAACACCTCTCATTTTAGTGTGGGAGGTTTCATGGCTAAATTGGACCAGCCTGGTGGCCAATCTTCATTAATTGCACATTGAACCAATAAGAGCAGACTGTGAAGGTCCAATTAGCAGGGTAAGAGCACAGTTTAGCTCAAAATATTGCAATGCACACAGCATTATGGGTGACATACCAGAGTTCAAAAGAGGACCAATTGTTGCTGCATGTCTTGCTGGTGCATCTGTGACCAAGACAGCAAGTCTTTGTGATATATCAAGAGCCACGGTATCCAGGGTAATGTCAGCATACCACCAAGAAGGACGAAACACATCCAACAGGATTAACGGTGGACACAAAAGGAAGCTGTCTGAAAGGGATGTTCGGGTGCTAACCCGGATTGTAACCAAAAAACATAAAACCATGGCTGCCCAAATCACAGCAGAATTAAATGTGCACCTCAACTCTCCTGTTTCCACCAAAACTGTCCGTCGGGAGCTCCACAGGGTCAATATACACGGCCGAGCGTGCCAATGCCGAACGTCGGTTTCAATGGTGCAGGGAGTGCAAATCTTGGGATGTGGACAATGTGAAACATGTATTGTTCTCTGATGAGTCCGCCTTTACTGTTTTCCCCACATCCGGGAGAGTTACGGTGTGGAGAAGCCCCAAAGAAGCGTACTACCCAGACTGTTGCATGCCCAGAGTGAAGCATGGGGGTGGATAAGTGATGGTTTGGGCTGCCGTATCATGGCATTCCCTTGGCCCCATACTTGTGCTAGATGGGCGCGTCACTGCCAAGGACTACTGAACCATTCTGGAGGACCAGGTGCATCCAATGGTTCAAACATTGTATCCTGAAGGAGGTGCCGTGTATCAGGATGACAATGCACCAATACACACAGCAACACTAGTGAAAGATTGGTTTGATGAACATGAAAGTGATGTCTAACATCTCCCATGGCCTGCAGAGTCACCAGATCTCAATCTTATTGAGCCACTTTGGGGTGTTTTGGAGGAGCGAGTCAGGAAACATTTTCCTCCACCAGCATCACGTCGTGACCTGGCCACTATCCTGCAAGAAGAATGGCTTAAAATCCCTCTGACCGGGCCGCAGCGTAGCCTAATGGCTAGAGTGGGCAGCCCATATGCGGAGCCTCCGCTCGCAAGCAAGTGTCCTGGGTTCGATTCCAGCACACGGCCCTTTCCCGCAGGTCTCCCCCTCTCTATCTCTGCCCCCTTTCCTGTCGAGCTACTGTCATTAAAGGCCACTAGAGCCAACAAAATAAAAAAATAAAATAAAAAAAATCCCTCTGACCACTGTGCAGGACTTGTATATGTCATTCCCAAGACGAATTGACGCTGTACTGGCCGCAAAAGGAGGCCCCTACACCATACTAATAAAGTATTGTGGTCCAAAACCAGGTGTTTCAGTTTCATTGTCCAACCCCTGTATGTACCCAAAATCTGTAATATCAAAATAAAGCCTGGATCACAATACTCTTTAAATTATGCTATAATATGTGGAACTATCTTTGTTTCATTTTGAATGTTTTTCAAATGGGGTGGCAGCCAGAGATAATGAGTTGATGCTATGTTTCAAATTTAAAGTATGCACTCAAAGAATTGGTGCATAGAGCACAGGCTCACATGCTTTCTGTGGAGTCACTGGGGTGATATTCATCAACTGATCAACTGAATTATCAATTTATCTTGTTTTGCTTCAAGCAACCTATAATAATTATGCACATTATTTTAGATTTGTGCCTCATAATTTTTACTGAATCCAAACTTCTTCCATTACTGACATTTGTTGCCCCATTTTGGCATTTGAAGATTATGTGACTTCAGATTCGCCCTCGCTTTTGAGGCTCTTTCGATTACTCCCATTTTTGCATACACTTTTGTTCTGTTCCTTCCTTAGTCTGCCAGTTAACCAGAGGTACATTATCACCAGCAGGTGGACTAAAGTGTTCATACTGCCTGCTCTCTGGGCAGCTTGACTGAAAAGGTTGCATGTTTATTCGTTGAGACTGACTCATATGTTATTGTGAGTTAAACTTGTGATTGTTTTATCACCAAATACCACACACAACAATCATGGATTAAAAAAGTTCTATTCTAGATATAATAATTTTTGTCATTACGGCCTGGTTTTGTTGGTTTTGTTGGTTTTATTTTTTACTTAGAAGTAAACCCACTGGCAACAGCTGTTCAGCTTGAAATTTTCCACTCCAAACATTCGGGTTAGTTTTTAAAGTCCTGCTCAGACAAGTTTTTGGTGCCTTTGTTACCCACTGTGTAAACAGAGGGTGTCAAGGAAAAGACCCCTTAAAAGACCTTGGTTCATGGAACTTCCCAGACTTGCTCGCCTTTTTTTCCCCCTCGGACTTGACATACATTGTAAATTGGGGATCATCATTAACAGGATTCACATTCTTGTAATTGTTTTATCCAGTAAAAAACATCAAGTTTTTTTTTTCCAGCTAGTGTAAAGCTTGATTGATTGATGAAATATGAATACAAAATATTATTTTTAAGTGTGCAGAAAGGAAGTTAACTAAAATTGACACCTGTGTAAGACGTGTTTCTTACCGAATCATTTAGTGGCTGGAAAAAAAAGAATACTCTGTCCCTATAAACTGATGTTTCACTGCCACTTACAAAGAGTTATTCTAATTCTAACATCTTCTTTTAGGAACCGATCAAGTCACGGGCGCCACAACTCCACCTAGAGTATCGCTTTTACAAACAACTAGGAAGCTCTGGTGAGGTTTGCCTTAACTTGTTGGGTTGTTTTTATGTTTATAGAAAGAGACATTTTAAATGCATTTCTTTTGCAAGCCAGCAAAAGGAGTCCTAACACTGGAAATATATTCACAGCTTCACCTGTTGTTCACATTAGTCACTGACTCTTTAGTCATTGTAACTGTACACATGCATACCTGTACATTATGCTTGTTACCTGAGGATTCTCTGGCTGAAAAAAATTGCTGCCACAATTACAAGATCTAAACAAGCACTCTACAAAACACCCCTAACTTGGCAATGAAATGTAGAGGTTAATTTTTGTAGATCAGAAACAGCATTGGCATCATAGAAAACTTAAAGTAAAAAACAATGTGAAAAATTGATAGTGGAAAACAGAATAAATCAAACGCAAGCCTTGAACACCTCTACTGTACCTTACAACCATTGCAAGTAATGAGGAATACATTTGTAGTTAACAACAGGTATAATTCAAGCCTACAAACTGGCCTATCAGGAAACCATTTTTGACCATGTGAAAACAGTAACAACAGAAATTCAAAACATTGACTGCAGCAACATAGCATGCTCAAACTTGCTTATTGAATTTACATAATAAAAAGGCTCTTGAAGAGAAGTTTGTTAATATACAATACCATCCTTAAAATGTTTTGAACCTATTTACAGTTGATTTTAAGAATGAGTCTTTGTTTGTGTGTTTTACGGTGTTTGGTAGGTTTTTCCAAAGCGCTTTAAATAATTTAACATTATACTTTCATGTGAAAGTAACTGTCCTAAAAAACAGCACTTCTTTTCTGTTTTAAATTTTAACCATGTTTACAATGGCAGTTATTTGGCGAAGGGTACAAAATAACTTTATAAGTGATTCATCAGTGGCCATATTTTCTTCTTTTCCTCTGCTGCTCACCCAGAGGGCGTACCGCAGGTGTTTTACTTTGGACCATGTGGTAAATACAATGCCATGGTTCTGGAGCTTCTTGGACCTAGCTTAGAAGATCTGTTTGACCTGTGTGATAGGACATTCTCTCTAAAGACTGTACTCATGATAGCCATACAACTGGTAAGACAAACATTTTTTTAGTCTATGGTCTTGTTCAAAACTAAAATAGTTATAGTAGAATGTTGAATATTCTAGTTCTGCTAATGGAAATTATAACTGTTACTCTTACAGATAACTCGTATGGAGTTTGTCCACACTAGAAGCCTTATCTATCGCGACGTAAAGCCAGAGAACTTTTTGGTGGGTCGACCAGGCTCTAAACGACAACACACCATCCACATCATAGACTTTGGCCTGGCAAAAGAATACATAGATCCAGAGACCAAGAAACACATACCCTACAGAGAACACAAGAGTCTTACAGGAACTGCCAGATACATGAGCATTAATACTCATCTTGGCAAAGGTGAGTTGTGGCATCTTGGTTAGTATTTAAATAAAAGTAATTTTGTACCATGAAAGAAATATGCTTCTGTGCTTGCATGTCATGCATAGAAAAGCAATGTTTTTCTGTCATAGAATTACAAACTGTCACCTTTCACCATAATTTCAGGCATACTTAGTCACGCTTTTTAAGTTATCTGTTGTCAGGGAATAAATCTGCATAGTTTATGAATGTCTATTTAAAACATTTCATATTGCTGTAAACAATATGTCCTTTTTTCAGATTACACAAATAGGCATCTGTATCAGAACTTTTCAAATCAAGAACAGCATGTCTCCCGTTTCGGTCTGTTATTGAGAGAGCACTGTGCTATATGCCTTTGAGTGTTTTACCCTTGATTTAGGTACAGTGTGTTTAAGTAGCTTCATTGAAAGATATAAAGTTTAATTTTACCCAGGCAAACTTACATTTTCCACTCCAGCTATTAAATGAAGAGTTGCAAGGTTTTGGTACAGTAATGCAAACTAAACTGAAGTGTGAGCTGACACTATATGAAAATACAGAACAAAATCACTAATTTTGCCCAAAAGTTTATTTGTATAGCACATTTCGTGTACAAGACAATTCAAAGTGCTTTACAAAGAATTTCAAATCAGAAAAACAAAGAAAGAAAATGAATCAACAAAATAAATTAGATAGATACAAGTGAAGGGTGCAGATAAAAACACTCAATTTCCATGTTCACAGTTAAACTGAACCATTCTGGATTTAAACATTGTCACGTTTTCAGGAAGACTTCCAGATTTTAGTACCATGGAATTGAAATGAAGCCTCACCTTGTTTAGTTCTAACTCTGAGCACCATCAAGAGACCAGAACCTGAGGTGCTCAGAACAGGTTCATGTGGCTCTAACATGTCAGAAATGTATTTCAGTGCTTGACCGTGAAGAAACTTGTACACAAGCAGAGCTGTTTTAAAGTCTATTCTCTGAGTGACAGGAAGCAAGTGCAGAGATCTGAGCAACAGGGTTGATGCGGTCGTATTTCCTGGTTTGGGGAGCCCAGTGAGAAGGCTGTTACAGTAGTTTAACCTGCAAGAGAAAAATGCATGGATTAGTCTTTCTAGGTCTGGTTCAGACACTATTCCTCTGATTCTGGCAATGTCTTTGAGATGGTAAGAGGGTGCTGATGTAATTAATTTAATGTGGCTGTTAAAGCTCAGGTCTGAGTCCAGTATTAACTCAAGATTCTCTTAGTTTCTGTGGGCCACAGACAAGGATTTTAGTTTTGTCTGGGTTTAACTGGAGAAAGATGTTCTGCATCCACGAACTGATCTGTTCAACACAACGACACAATAAATCAACAGGCCCGTATTCTCTTGCTGTCAGCGACACATAGATCTGAGAGTCATCTGCATAGTTGTGGTAGGACAGATTATGGCTGCTTATTAGCTGTCCCAAATGCATGTACATTTTGAACAAAATGGGACCCAGGATTGAACCCTGGGGAACCCCACAGGGCAGACCCATCAGTTCTGAGACACAGTCCCCAATTTAAAAAAAAGTAACACCTGTCCTCAAGGTAGGACTTGAACCACTTTAAAGTCGTATCAGAGATTCCCAGTTAATGTCTCTTTTTTCGGCAGTGTTTTAGTGAGTTTCAGAGTAATAGTTGAAGCACTATTAATGTTCTTGGCTCTTAATGTTCAATTGGATGCCACTAATACCGATCAATTATTTAAACCCTTGTTTATTGTTATTTCAGAGCAAAGTAGACGTGATGACCTGGAAGCTTTAGGCCACATGTTTATGTACTTCCTGCGAGGCAGCCTTCCCTGGCAGGGACTGAAGGTGAGGAGAGTTCAGTTAAATTTTCCCTCTTTTTGCCATGTATGAACCTCCTTGTTCATTCTGTCTGTCCCCCTTTGTTACTTACTTTGAGTAATTTTAACCCTTTTTTTCCTGTTTTAGGCTGACACTCTCAAAGAACGTTATCAGAAAATAGGGGACACAAAAAGAGACACTCCAATAGATGTGCTCTGTGAGAGTTTTCCAGGTTTGTTTAAACACAAACACTAACGTCTCTCATTCAAGTCAAAAGAGGAAGAGACACACTTGTTTTCACAGAACATATCTGGATCAAAATTTTGTGCTCTCCTGAATATGTGAACTTGTGGGTTATTGTCTTCTCTTTGTATGTAAATTACCTTTATGTGTGCGCGTTTGTAACAGAAGAGATGGCCACCTACCTGCGGTACGTGCGTCGGCTTGACTTCTTTGAGAAGCCAGACTATGACTATCTGAGGAAACTCTTCACAGACCTATTTGACAGAAATGGATACATATTTGATTATCAGTATGACTGGACTGGAAAGCCACTGGTTAGTGCTGATTGTGTTATTTAGACTATATAGATGTAGTAATCTGTATTGGGTAACTCACGTCTATGTTTATGTCACTGCTGAGCAGTTGAATCACAAATTATCTGAATTTTGTGCTGTCACTATTGTCTAAGTTTAAACAACCACAGCTTGGAATTTCAGCCAATGTAAAGAAGAAAGACCACTTACCAAAATTAGATGTTTTCTATAAATATTAATGAAAATGCAAAGAGTTTCAGCTTCTATGAAGTATTATGATGATGCATTCATTTTGCCATTAATTCAATTTACATACTTTATACTTAAAAAACAAACTCTACATCCTTGATAATGACAGATTTTTTGTTGTTAAGTATAAAAAAATCAACTTTGGCTTGAAATACACATAATTTTACATTTGATGTTTTAATTGATAAAGCCATACTAACATCACTTTAAAGACCCTAAATATCATGAATATTGTTTTACCATGTCCGCTTTATCAGTAAGTTCAGAGAGAAAACATAAGCATAGTCTCTTAGGAGATATTCAGTTATAAAATCAGCCTCCCGACTGGCTTGATTTTCAATATTAACCACCTGCTCTGTGTTTAGCCAACCCCAATTGGTCCAGTGGCCACAGAGACTCCACTTCAGACAAGCAGCCGGGAGAAACCAGCACAGATCAAAAACCAGGTACACATCCCCATTGTAAAGAGAATACTCTGTCTTGTCAAGTTTATACATGACTGAATTATCATATCGTAGTTGTACATATGATAATTCAGTCAAGGTTTAAAAAGAACAAGAGAAAATCTTAAAGATTAACTTTTGTGACCTTAAAACACAATATAGGCAGTAGTCTGCACTTGAAGATCCTCCTCCTTTTTTCTGGTAGATTTTTCAAAATATGCTGTCAAGGAAAAGGAAAAGTCCGAAATAATATCTATATCATCCATCGGGGCAGTCATTACCTTCAAACTCGGGTTCTGGGAACTTGAGGCATTTTCTTTGCTCTTCTTAGGAATGCACTCTTCTATACAGAGATCTAAGAAATATATATTATATGTATATTGGTTTTCAAAATAATAGCAGTCCAATGTGACTAAACAGATTGCTACATTACAAACAATTTACTGGTGTGTGCAATAGATTCTCAGAAAACCAACAAAACCCAGCAATCGTGATATTCACACTCTTAAGGATGCTTAATTGGGAGATTAGTTGAATGGGGTGTGTTAAAAAAAATCAGTGTCTGCTGTTGACCCTACACTCAAACTCTTTCTAGAATTTAGCAATCCTGTGAATCACTACACTGATATTTTGTTGTATGACCACAGTTCAGTTTTTTATAACTGCTTCACATCCATATGGCAGGAGCCAACCAACTTGTGGCACCTTTCAGCTGTTATTCCACTCCAACATTCTTTAACAACATTTCAAAATTCATTGACATTTCTTGGTTTTGTTTCAGAAACAGCATTATGGCCACTCCCTAACATTCATTTTGTTGGGTTGGATCCAAGATTTAACTCATTCACTTGTTTTGAGGTCATTGTCTTCCTGAAACATCCATTTCATGGGCATATTATTTTGACACATGTAAACTGATCCATGATCCCTAGTATGCGATAAATAGGCCCAACGCCATGGTAAGAGAAACATGCCTTTATTGTTATGCTTGCAACACGATGCTTCAAGTGTTCACTGTGTACTATGGCTTGAATTCAGTGATTGGGGGTTATCTCACAAACTGTCTGCAGCCCCCGGACCCAAGAAGAAAGATTTTCTCTCAGTCCACAAAATGTTCCTCCATTTTCCTTTAGGCCAGTTGATGTGTTCTGGCAAATTATAACCTCTTCTGCACATGCCTTTTTAACAGAGGGACTTGGCGGGGGATTATTGTAACTTCGGAGTAGGCTCTGACCTGCTCTGTTTGGAAAGCGCTGTGAGACAACTGTTGTTGTGATGTGGCGCTATATAAATAAAATTGAATTTAATTGAATTGTAAATAAATTAGCTTCACACGGACCACTTCTAACTGTCACAGTAGTTACAGGTAACTGCAGAATGTATTTGATCATCCTGGAGCTGATAATTGGCTAAGGCTTTGCCATTCTGGTCATCCTTCGATCCATTTTGGTGGAAGTCTTCCGTTTTCTGCCACATATCTCTGGTTTTGCTCTACATTGTAAAGCAGATCATTTTAGCTGAACAGCTTATAATATTTTGCACCTCTTTATGCGTTTTTCCCTCTCCATTAGTTTTTAAATCAGAAGTACGCTGTTATTCTGAGCAATGTCTTGAACAACCCAAGCCAGCACACATATGGCATATGTATTGATATACATATGTATTGATATATATCCCTTCCTGCAGAATAACATGAGGACACTGTTGTGCGCTCTCGCTGTTTTGTACTTTTCACTGTCCACGTACCCATTTCTCTACCACCAAATACTGACTCTGGACTCAATATTTCTTCTATTTTCTTTTATACTCTAATTTTTTCTATCATTGTCCTAATGGTCCTGTGTCTAATCTGCTCGTGTTAATTGTTACATCTTTCCCGCTCCTCTTTCTCTCCCGATCTTCTTCTCTTCACATTTACCCTACCCAACCTAATTTAATTTCTCTTCCTTTTCCGTCTTGTTGCTCTTCACTCTCTCTTTCTGTTTCCGCCATGATCAACTTTGCATTTCCTTTAGTCTCCAGAGGGGAAAGGCAGTGAGTCTCAACCCACTCCAGTCACCAATCGAGAGCTGCTGGGCTCCCATCTTACTGCTGATAGACTGGGCGGGTCTGTACAGGTACTGAGAGGATGGGTTAGCTCTGCTGGCTTCCTGTCTGCCTATCTGTCTGTCTGTCCACCTGCATAACCCTCTCTGTCCCTGCAGTGTGGCTGACTCAAAGTGTTTTTCTTTCCTCCTCAGTTATTCCTGTACTTTAGAATATTGCAAGAAAAACCTTTTTATTTACCTTTTTTGTCTTGTTTTTTAGTTTTAAAGTAGTAAAGCAGCTTTTTATGTATTTATTTTATTTCTGTCGTCATTACCCTTTAACATTGTATATTTTAATAGATAAGAGCATCTTCAAGGGAACAATTGTTTTTTGTTATTGTCTTAGGACTAGTTATTTTAAAGTTTTCAAATTTCACATGACATAAAAGCAAGGAAAAGTAATGGAAAAAGTGTGATATACATTTTTTTGTAGGTACAACCAGAATAAACAATATATAACAAGACAGTATTGTGGTAGTAGTTGTTCCTTGGACCATAGCTTGTACATGGTACAAATAGATATGAAAAGAAATATTATATTTGCAGAGAATTTGCATAACCTATGTTCAACAACTAAGTAACTTCAGATTTATTTTGTTTTAGTTGATATAGACTTTAAATGAATTAGCTCTTACTGTTTGGCATTGACTTATATTGGCATAGATGATTTTAGCGGGCGGCATGGTGGTGTGGTGGTTAGCACTGTCGCCTCCCAGCAAGAGGGTTCTGGGTTCGAATCCCGGGGGAACCAGGACCCTTCTGGGTGGAGTTTGCATGTTCTCCCTGTGTCTGTGGGTTCTCTCTGGGTACTCCGGCTTCCTCCCACAGTCGAAAAACCTGCATGTTAGGCTGATTGGAGATTGGGGAAATTGCCCTTAGGAGTGAATGTGAGTGTGAGTGGTTGTTTGTCCTTGTATGTCC